AGGCGACCTGTGGTTGAACACAGCATGGGCGCTCAATATTGTGTATTTGTGCGAAACGTGTTTATGTATTCGAGATCAGCCGGCGAGATTTGATGGGTCTGCCCGTGTTGCCCATGGAGCGGGACTCGTGCCTGCCGCTCCGTTTTACACGTGGTTGGGTGTTCACCTGGCCATGTGTCGAGAACTTTGCGAGTTTTTTTCGTACGTCAATGAAGTGCGTATGCATACACAGCACCTGAATATGGGAAGTCGGTGTGCATGAGAAGTGAAGATCAACTACTGCCAGGGCCGGAAAAAGTCTCTATCTGTGCATGTACAGCAGTAGGAACGCGGTTTATTTCGTGACGCCTGTTCGGAGTACGCAGCACTTGAACACAGGAGCTGGTTCCTTGCCGTAACAATCTACCACTAACTTTGAGCAGGAAACCAAGTTGGGGAGATATGTGGATGCATAAAGTTAGAGATGCATCGCATCGAGATAGAGATGCATCATGGACATGCACTGGAGGCTGCAGTGCAGCAGCAAGTACCCCACCCGCCGCTCGATATCGATGTGTACATGTGCGTGTGCGTGTTCTATCGCTTCCTTTCTTCCGCCCAGCGAATAGACTTCAACCCCATGAATGTGTTGTTATTTATGTATGTTTACGTCTGGACATATTATGAGCTGTGGAAGTTGAGACGCCCGCGTCGACTGCCTTCCGGCACACGGTAATAGTCTACCTACTGATGTTGTTGCTGCCGCTCCTGTGTCCCCACTGGAGTATCTACGTCGCGCAACTGCTGCCGTGTAGGTTGATCGATAATTCGGGTGGCTCAGTTGTTTGTGATGGGAGTGTAGAGCAGCTCGGCTATGACGGGCCGTAGGGGTAGGTAAAGTCGTGCAGACGTGTTGAAAAACGTGTTGTATTCATCGGGGGCGTGCTTGACCATCACGGCATCAAGTCACGCATAACGCTCAAACACTAGAGTTGTGAATCGGTACGAAAAAACGATATATTTTACATCGGCTGCGCAGCAGCCGATATAACGATATTTTCTCCGATATATCGCCGTAGGCGATATATCGGAGAAAATATCGGGCGAGCGCAGCGAGCCGTGATGGGGGCGAGCGAAGCGAGCCCCCCCATCGGCCCCCCCCGGCTGGTGAGGGGGCCTCGCCGGAGGCGCCGCCGGAGGCAGAAAATTTGGTGCATTTTCCTTTCATTTCCCGTCAAAATGGGCCCAAATGCGGCATCAAAAAGGGCTTGACTTCAGCTGCAAACATCGCACGGAATGTAGAAAAAAAAAAAAAANAACACCCACAACGAATCTACCACACTCCCAACGAGAACATATAGAAACTTTTTGTTCCTCCGTAGTTCGTCACTGCAAACCCCGCATGTATATACGCAATATACCACCCCCATGCTATGCTACGAGTATATCGAATAGCCCCCCTGCTCGTATGCATCGTCATGCTCCGGGAAAATATCATAGTCATCCTTCTCATACCAGTTCATCCCAAAACACAATCAAAACCAAGAAAACGAAAATACTTCAGACAAGACAAAAGTATTCAAATAGCATACCAACACACGCCAATCACTCTCGCTCTCTTCTGAAAATTCTCAACTCAAACTTTTTCCATCCAGAAGAATATGACGAACGCCGTTCAAAGACGCCTTTCCTTTCACCGCCAATTCGTCACAATATCTCGGTGCGTCTCTAAATCCGCCTAGCTAGATATCCTACCATTACCAAGATGTATGCAATCCTAAGACAAATTATTCCATTCATCCACCAAACCTTCGTCCGCAGGTAAAACGCGAAGAAGTAATATCTCCCTGAAATACTCAAAATATATCATTAATGTTCGGTGAAGAAATGTCAGCAACGCCATTTCATTTGAAGGAATATAACGTGCCCCCCTGCTCCGAGGACCCGCCCCCCTGCTTTGTGACGGGGTCGGAGTCAAGCCGAAAAACAATACGAGAGGTGCCGAAAATCAAAACAGTACTTCTGATCCTCTCATCCACACTTCAATCAGATCTGAAAAACCAAACCCAAGCTTAAAGCAAACAAAACAAACGCCAAATCTCAAACTAAATCAAACCCAATATGAACTTTAATGCGCCTACTTTGCCAGCCATAAACCCCAGCGCATTGGACCACTGCCCCTGCCATTGTTTCTCCCCCGCGGATTTTCGCTCGCCTCCGCCGCGGTCGCCTTCTGTGCTCTTCGTCCGGCTGGCCGCGGCTGGAGCATCGTCAGCAAATCGTCCGCCTTCGTTGGGGGAGACCACAATTGTCGCTCCAGAAGGATTGACTCGGCAGCGGTGGAGGGCAGGTCGCGCGTTCGGAAGGGAAGATGGTGGCACAATCAGTTCCTTATAAAACAGCACTCCTGAGGAGAATCACATTCCACAACACTCCCCCCGGTTCTGCACAGTAGTGGTGACTGCTGTACCAAAACAAATTAAAAGACAGTTGGACATCCAACATTTGTCTTCTGCTCACGCCGTGTAACTTCAAAGTTCGTGTTCTGCCACTGAAATGGTCTTGAGTGATCTCTTCGGAGGAACGCATTTGGTGGTTCTTGCTCCGCGTCATGCTGAGTACTAGCTCTTACTGCTGTCCTCCACGATCTAGTCGGGAATTGAGTTTCTGGGTCAACCTCGCTTCTTGGCTGAGTGATGCCTCTGACTATTTTTCTCTGCGATCTAGTCGGAAAACGTCAGTCTTGGGTCAAGTCTCGCTTTTCGCCGAGGTCCTGCCACGCATATTGCTGTTCTCTCCAGCGAAATTCTACCCAACATCTCCTACAAACTTGCCATGAAATCCTACGTGCTTGCGTCAAGAATTCTGACTGTCCTTCAAATGCGTAATATGTCCACGCTTTGCTGTTGTGTCGGTGGTGACGTGGTAGTCCCACAAAGTTACGCATCAATCTTTTTTCTTGTTACCGTACCGCTTTTGGTGGGATAAAAACCCCTCATACTCTTTCGTTGCACGATTGGCAACTATACTCTTGGAAGCATAACATCCCCTCATACGTGCTGTTGGTGGCTTGATAACCCCTCACACGTTCATTTATCTCGTTCGTGACAACCGTACTCTCTCTTTCATCCCAATACCACACAACATTTCGCAGAATTCCGAACACAGGAAGCGATTCAGACACAAGCCTTAAAATCTTTCGGAACACAAAATAACCAGCTGAAAATAACGCCATTCATCTTCGGACAGAGGACATGATCATTTCATCACGTGCCTGAGCGGGTCTGGGACCCAAGTAGCAGAAGTGGTGCTGCTGTAATGCGCTGAGCCGCCCCTCGGGGGCTCGCGCGATGGTCAGGGGGATGTCGTCCGCGCGCATGGTCGATGGTTCTAGGCGCGCTCCCTGCTGCTGGCCTCGTACTCTTCGCTCTCTCGCATGACTTTTATCTAACCCTCTCCTGCTTTCACCTCGCAGCTGACGTCCGGACTCCTGTTGACTTCTTCTGCTTCAACCCGCGCGCTCTTGTCGACGCTGCGGGAGCTATCTTGTTCTTCGATCCTGGCGTCCTCCGCTGCTTGGCGGGCCTCCGCTGCTTGGCGGGCTTCATCTTCGCGCCTGGTAGCCATCATGACCCTGCTCTCGATCGCCGCAAAGCGACACTCCTAAACCAAGCTCGACCGCGAATCTCGTAGACGACGTGTCATACGCTAGCGTGATCGATAATTCTGGTGGCTCAGTTGTGTGTGATGGGAGTGTAGAGCAGCTCGGCCATGACGGGCCGTAGGGGTAGGTAAAGTCGTACAGACGTGTNTTGAAAAAACGTGTTGTATTCATCGGGGGCGTGCTTGAGCTCGTCATTCCATCACGGCATCAAGTCACGCATAACGCTTAAACACCCAAAACGAATCTACCACACTCCCAAGGAAAACATAAAGAAACTTCCGCCGTAGTTCGTCACTGCAAATCCCGCATATGTATACGCAGTATACCACCCCCATGCTATGTTCCCCCCCCGGTGTTTGCCGTCGGGGTTGGGTTTTCGTCGCTTGGCAACGACGTTGTAAAACAAGCC